CTCCGGGTAATTCCATCGCTAATATGGTATACAGGGAAGCATTAACGTAATAAACTATACCAATATTACCAAATAAAAATATACCACAGTCAGGATCTTTATTGGTAAAAAAATACCACCTTCTTGAGTGGATTTTATATGTATATAGCCTATTGTTATCTAAACGATATTGTTTTTTTTTCGACAACCACGCGAACGAAGTCGCGGGCAAAGCTAGTATTATATTATTTTATTTGTCGTACTCTAAGCCCGACAAGGACATTTGTCTCTATTAATGATCTTGAATCAACTGTCGGTGATGCTAGCTTTAGTATCTGTAGTGATGCCTTCGAAGAGTTTTTAAATCGTACTTTTGATAACTCTGTGGCAAAAGTGCTCTCACGGTCAACAAGATGCGCCTGGATTCTCTCACTATGACCTGATCTTTCTTTCCTATACCCTAAAACCTCTCAAACCCAAACCCAAGGTCTTGTACAGGCGAGCTTTTGGTCTTTTGGTCACATGGATAATGAAGGACTCAAAAGGAGTGACTCTGCCATCAACTGGGTGCATTTAACAGAAGCAAACACCATAGACAATAAGGTGGCTTATTTTAACTCGGTTGTGGTTCAGCTTTATGATCGTCATGCTCTTCTCACACGGAGAAGGTTTGAGCGTTAATCACCACGCTTGCTCAATGCGGGTTGGCGGTTACAAACTTATAATTAGATATTATAACCTAGGTTTCCTTCACCATTTGTCAGTAGTGTTTAAATAATCTTAGAAAGTACATATAACTCGGAAAAAGTCACATCGTCATAATCATTACAAAAATATAAACTCCTAAATATTAAATCAAATAAAAACCATATTTAACTGAACAATCGATTTTACCAACGACAGTTAACGACGTCTACAATAAAATACACCGTAAAACATTAATAGCGACATTTTAGCTGCCCAAAACGAAATTAAGGGGAAAGTTTGACATCAAACACGGTTTTATGGGCTATGAGGGCTCTTGCACTTTTATTGTGGCTAAATCAATATGGCGGTGCTTCATTAAAATCTCGGTTTAATATTAGAGTCAGTACACACTATGCGTTTTGTGGCGTTGCATTTGTCGTGCATTTGTAGCGTATGTGAGACCAATATTTATTAAAATAGTTATATTGTACGGTGAAACCATACACTGGTAATGCACTTCTGCTTATCCGTGCATTTTCCCTTACTTCATTAATTAATATTAGTCGAGTATTCAGTACATTAATAGCGGTCATCGCGTGTGCTCCCTCGCTCCTTTATAACTCTCATAAACCTTTGGTCTGATTATTATATACGTTTTATTATTGACTTTATAACTGCCGTATCATTTCATCTACTACCCAATTCTACATATATAATATTATCATTTTTAATATTATTGTTTTCTTTTCTTCTCTTATAATATCTTCTGATTCACTTCGTTGCGGGAACCAAGACAGTTATTCATGTTCCTGGGGCGCGCCGAACTTCAGTGTTCCGGTGTTTTCATAGTTGTATCTACTGTAGATCCTGGCTTACAGGAGTTGCAATGGTTTTAGAAGGATGCGCCGGGCTTGCCCCATTAAAAAAATATTATTCTATCACACTGATACAATATATGTGAAAGTTCTTTGTTTGGAAGGTTAGGTGTTTGTCCAGTAATCACGCTAAAACTACTGAACGGATTTTGATGAAACTTAGTACACACACAGGCAGGGTATGGGGCTGACCTAGGTCATAGGACTTTCTATCCCTATTAAATGCTGCCATGGCATAAAATAGGAGTACATGGGCAAAGCCGCAGGTAAAAGCTAGTGTAATATAAGAATTTATATCATTACACATACGTTATCATCAGCCTGTTTTTGTCCATAACTGAGTTTGATCTCTACTGGTTGATAGTGTTTATGCGTAGATATTTTACAGATATCTTTACTTAACCTAACTGGAGGGGCCTAACTATAAGTTTGCCTAGACGCGGTCTCATCCAGAATACGTTTGGGAAAACTGACAGCGCTTGATAAAAAGCGTGCGCTTAAATGTGTACGCTTTCATTAATCATTATTCTAAAAATCGCTCAATGTGTGCTAGCTCTTAGTCCTCTAGCAAAGTGTACTGGGATCAAGGGTCTCTGACAGTCTCTCAAAATGAACATGTTTCGTTTGAAAGCTTGAATTTTATTAACTTTTCAATAATGTGTCGTATGTATGACATACTAAAGTTGGGTGTTTATATTTTTTGAATTTTAATAATATGTTGGAAATTTTTTATTAAACTGACTGAGTATTTAAGTTGTAAAAAAATAATGTATTTATTTGAAACCATTTTCATTTATAAATTCCTTTATCTGTATTGCCCGATATCTTCAAGGCCTTGGGTCAATAATTGATATACGTGATATACGTGAACGCTCATGTAGGCTGCATCGAACCTCTTTCAGTGGTTCCTGTTTTTAGAAGTGCATTAAAGTTCTAACAATACGACACATTACGAGTCTTGGGGGAGCGTACATGTTTAGGGATTACGGGGAGCCGAATGTCTACTAGGGAATTATTAAGTAATAGTACTATATTCGAAAAAAATATACATGTAAAATAGACTTTAACTATATTATTAATTTGTAGCAGGAGAACAATTAAACAAAATATATTGATTAGAAGACCTAAAATTTTAATTAACATTAATTTACACATTAAAATATTTACAATCATACATAAACAAAGATATTTACAAATCGCAACATATAGGTACATAAAAAATTATCCATTATCTTACACAGTTGTAAAATTGCCATCTATTTTACACAACGGTGAATTACAACATATTTTTATATAATCCTTAATCTTCAATTCATCACAACGTCGCTGTTTCTAAGGCACCTACAGATGAACTTGAGTGAGAGGTGAGATCCTCTCCCGAATCAAAGTCGGATTGCTCGTCGTCTCTTGTGTCAGAGCCGGGCAGCTCGTCATTTTTCACCTCAGAGACTTCAGCCTCACTGTTCCTCATTCTTCAAATCCAGCGATCACAGAAAATCCTCCGGATCTGTCGCCACCGGCTCGTCTTCAAAATAATAAGCTGTTAAGTTTCCATTGCCGTTAATCTTCTATTAGGATCATATGTCAACAATTGTTCCAGTAACGATAAATCGTTATTAGAAAGTATTTCGTGTTCTATCTCCTGCCGCAATCTGCCCGGTGCATATTCCCGAAATGAAACATCTCCAACTAGTGGCAATTCACTGTAGTCGGGCCAAATTGTCTCTGAAGGTGTACCCAACACCTTGTAGATTTTATTGAGTTGGTCCAACTCCGAGTTTCCGTAAAACAGTGGCCACATGTTAACTTATTCTGCGAATACACACCCAACACTCCACATGTCAACAGAGTAAGAGTATCTTGGACGCAATAGAAGTAGTTCAGGCGCTCGATACTACAGGGAACCAACAGTCCGTGTATATTGCTAAGGAGATGATTTATAATCTCTGGACATTCCAAAATCTGCTACCTTCAAATAATCATGTTTACAAATCAGTATGTTCTCGGGTTTAAGATCTCTGTGGATGATACGGTACGTGTGTAGATATGTTACCGCACCCAAGAGTTGCGTCATTAGGCAATGAACGTGTTCTGGGTAAAACGTTTGTCTTGTGTTGCGCACTTTATCCATTAAACTTCTTAATTGATGGGGCAGATA